ATCTTCCTTTCCATCCTTACCTTGTTCATTCATTTCCCTGGTGACTGAGTTTATTGCTACAGGAGGCTCTGTTTGTCCCTCCGCAATTTTCATGGAGCAGTAAAAATCAGTTTGCACACAAGCGGATTTGAAGCCACAGCAATGAGGCATCACAGCAATTGAACTATAGCTGAAACTTCATCTTGTTTACCTAAGCATTGATTTTATTCACAATACATAGAATTTCTTTTTGTTACTTCTACTCTTACATTTCTGCAGAAGCTCTTTAGCTGAAAGGTAGGCCTTTAGCAGCCTGTGAAAGCTGTCAGGGTTATTCTTAGTCTGAACCACCCTGTGAGGCTGCTGAAAGTTGGTGTCAGCTGGTTTTAGAGCATTGCTCCCATGGAGCAGTCTCTCAGCAGGTTGCACACTGACTGTCCATCCCTGTGTAGCGCAGGCCTAGCCTAAAACGTGACTTTCTCTGAGAAATGAGTGAATGAAGTATCAAATCCATTCTACCAGATCAGGATTGGGATTTTAGATTCCTCAGTTTGAGTTCAAAAGGAGATTTACCTACCCCTACATAAAGAGCCGGCTGCTTCCCCTTCCTGCTGGCCTCTGTGGGCGAAGGGCAGTCGTGGGAAGAGATGCCATGCAACTGCTGTGGTGGTGGTGTCTGCTGCCAAACAACTGTTCCCTGTTTCCCCAGGGGCAAAAACCTCACAGAGTGTATATTATATTTTGGGGGATTTGTGCTATCAAGTTCTTTTCCTGGATGAATTTTAGCTGTGTGTTTTCTGTTCTACTGGTTGCTTATGGGAGCAGCAACTCCATGAAGAAAAATGATTGCTCTGTGGAGTCCTGTGTCTTCAGAGCTGTCTCTTCCATGTTAGAAGTGCTGCTTAGCAAAAGCTTTTGGGGTTTGCAGAACCAACTTAATTTTCCTCACACATATGCTGCACTCCCACTAATTAACTATTATGCAAGGCAAATTGTCTTCAGGAACCTCTACAACTCCATAGTCTATATTATGCTCAACAGGCACATCTTCAATTGCATTACTTTCATTGGCTTTGCACATTCAGTGAAAAGCAATAAACAATTCTGCTGTACTCGAACGTAAAATTCAGCTTTTCCACAGCTGTATTCGCTTCGCAGGGGAGGAAATGGTGCAGAGTAAAATGGCTACATACATAGGTAGTTGTTTTTCAGAGGAGAGCCTCATGGAATGTAGCACTAAACCCAGACGTAGAATTAGTACTAGCAATGACCTGGAAAGCAAGTACACATGTATTCATGAGATGCAGTCTTTTTTTCTTTTCTTTTTCTCAGAGGATCAGACAGATGAATTTTTGGTTGAATTCTTCTAGCTTTAAGCACATTCAATGATACCATTATTATCCTCAAGAAGCCCAGGCATCGTAGGTACTACTGCATGTGCTAGAGCAAAGGATCATTCCACACTTAAGGACTAGAGCAAAGGATCATTATGCAAATACTTGGACTTTATTCTTTTTCTTTTCTTTCAGGATCTGTTTATTTAGTTTACACTCCTACCCATCAGGCTTCTTAGAGAGATTTATATTTTACAGATTCCTCTTTTGGAATTTTCGTATCATTCACTTTTTAAAAGATTGTCTTTGGACTCTGAGAAATGAGCAATGCAAACGTTTGCTATTGACAACTGTGTGCTGGTATTTAATGATTTCTTATACAGTCCAGTATGTTTGTGGTATGGTTCCATGCTCATGTAGAGAATAAACCCTCAGCCTTCCTTCTTTCTCTCCAAGGCTAAATAAAGGCTGCTGAGGTTGCTGTGCCAGCTCAGGTGAAAGCCAAGGCCTGGGGGAGCTGATGACATGTGCTTTGGTCTACAGCTGGATGTTAATTGTGTAAAAAGAGGGCATTAATTATGCATAAAGAAGGCAGTGAAGCATGTATTCTATAAGGCACACTGAGACTGAACTATCTGTGAGCACAGTGCATCACCTATCTTTGCTTTAAGTTAGGCAACTTGGGTACTGCTAACAGTCTGGCTGCGGCAGGAGGGATCTCAGCACAGAGCAACTGCGGTGTACCTGGATGCTCAGTCAAGCCTGGAGCATTTTCTGTGAGCACAGGACAGTCATCAGCTTGAAGTTAGATCAGTAAGTCTATGCCATACCAAAGGTATAAATGAATAGTATGAATATATGGTCCACCTGGTCTAGTGGGAGGTGTCCCTGCCCATAGCAGGGGGTTGGAATTAGATGATCTTTAAGGTCTCTTCCAACCCAAACCATTCTGTGATTCTATGATAGGCTCCTCAAGCTTTTATCTTGGTTCTGCATCTTATACAGGACAGATGAAATTATAAGCAAGCCAAAATTTCTTCATGTGTAAATATTATCTTAATGTGTAAATATTTAAATGAATAGAGGAAGATATTTATTCTTCTTTATCAACTAAAAATAAACATTTTAGGAGTCCTAACCAGTACTTAATGTCCATTCATTTGCCAGGCCTACGAATCCAAATACAACCTGCTTACTATTTTGACAGGCTTTTCCTTTTTCTAACTGGGACTTACCAAACTTTAATTTGCAAAGCTGCGGTGTTTTCTTAATAAATACTTTCTATTTATTAATTTGACTTCCTGATGAGATTTCTTTGATTTCTGGAAATTTCATTCTGGTATCAGTATTAGCCCTTCCTTGGCTTAAAAAACAATATACATGCTATAATCCATTCTACAGCCTATTCAAGCTGTTACTTACATGCTGTACTGCAAAGTATGTGAGAAAAAAATGATATATTTCATCAAAACGTCTATCAGGTATTTCTATTAACTGCAAGTGTGCAGTGAAAATGTACAATAGTGGTTTAATATATCATGAAGACAGACAATGTTTGAATGTACATGTTAATGTACATTTTTAGGAATGACAAATAAGACAACTACGTGCACAGTGAACTTGTCTTCTAGTTGCGTTGGCAATACCAGTTCCTTACACAGCTGAACCTGGTTAAAAGCTCTATTTCCAGTGTAATAAATGTGACACTGTAAGTACAACATTGACAGCAGAGATCATTAAGGCTCTGTTCTGATGACTGTTTATTTCTCTGTGCATACCTCCCCTCCACTTTCCTCTTGTCCCAGTCCCAGTCCCTTCCCCCTCAACATATTCATACAGAATGAAAAGCTCATTGTTTTCAGACTATTCAGGAAGAAAGGTTTAAGATAAAAGATTTTAACCTGAAAGTACTGAAATACGTCATGAAATGCAGATTCACAGTAATAGCAATACCTGGTACTTATAAAGCTGTTTAAATATTTTTAATTTTTTTTCTTTTTTGGTATGGCAGAGGAAACTAATATCCACATCCCATGGTGCTAAACACTACAACAGGTTGCACACAGAGAAAAGAGTCTAGACTGAAGATCATACAGTCAGCTTAGGTCTTAGCAGTCTTTGCAAATTTGAGGAAGAATGAGCATCTCTACTTTTGAGATACAGAAGAAGGTGAGGCACAGAAAGTATAAATGCCTTGCTCAGAAACACACAGTGAACCAGTGGCAGACTTTAGGTCTGTTGACTCCCCAGCCATCAATTTGTTTGTTGACCCATTTTGTCCTCTTAAACAGCTAAGAGAAGATCTTCTGAGATATGCAACATCAGCCTAGTATCATAGGGGGAATCAGCACACAGCCTGATTCTGCACTACCTTTGGCATCTGTAGTCACGTTTACATTGTAAAGAGTGCCTAAAATGCCCTCAAATCAAAACTGATTTGGTGTAAATGACTAATATATGTAGTTTAATAGAAAATCAGGCTCACAGCTGTTACTTTGTAGCATGCTGAGACTAGAATTAACTGTTGTAATTGCTAATGAATTAAGGCTGATTCCTGTTTATATTAAGGCCTCTGAATCCTTCTATGACAGTGTGACTGTGCCTCAGTGCAAGTGAGACATAGGCTAGAAAAAATTTACTTTTCAGTTCCCTTCGAAGTCAATAATTTTAGTGGCCCTAAATGAATAACTGGGATAACTATGGAATATTTACAAAAGGATTGTTAAGGGACCTAAAAGTAACCTGAGGGAAAACCAATTTTATGTTTATTGGGAAAAAAAAAGAAAAAGTTGCCTGGTCTTGAAAATGGAGAATTGTGACACGGTAACACACCTTTGTATGAAGATAACTGGCTTGATGTTCGGTGGCTATGAGTATGCCCAGATAAATTGTAGATGCTTATCAACTCTGGAGTTATCTTGTTACACTACTACAATAAAATAGAAATAGACTTATTTGGTATTTAAGTGCTAGACACATAGGGCATAGTTTTCATAAAGCTAGTGTTTGTGATTTTCAGAGGAGTAGGAAGATGACCTCAAGCCCAGTAAAATGCTATATGATCACAGATTTCTCCTATTATTATTGTTGTTAAAAGCTATTATGTGTTGCTTTCTTACAATAAAGGTTCTTCAACTTTGCCCTCTGTAGCCAAGCATTATCTCAGAAATTTTCTCCTCTCTATTCATAACACTTTTGGTTTTAAATCGTTAATTTTTTAGACAACAGTTTAACATTTGCTGGCTGAGAATAAACAAGTCCTTGCTCTATTCAAATTTAAGGCCTGGGTCCCCATTGGTTGCAGCACTTTCGGACTTATTTTTACTTCTAGATAGAAGTAGATTTATTTTTTAAAGCTAATATGGAATTTGTTTGTGTAAATTAACATAATTCCCTAGGCATCACTGTGGCTGTGATAACCACCCAGCTAAGGATCCAGCCACCGAAATATAACTCCAGTGGCTGGGAAATCTGTTCTGTGCATGAGTCACACAACAGCTGGATCATACGTGATGTTACATCTAGTTTCATTGGCAATTCAGAAAATATTTCATAATAAATTTCATTGCATCTATTCCCCATTTTCATATACAAATAAATCATCTTTTCTAAAACATTCTTTTTCTTTAGTAAGGCTCGTATTCATAGACATATCAAAAGTGTTTGCTATTGGAGCAACCTTCCAGCTTGCTTTCTTTAGAGTTATCTTTATTATGAAATTCTACAGCATTCTAAACTTTAATGGTCATTAGCAACCCTGCACTTGAGTAAAGAATCACATTAAAAAAGTATAAGGTACAATATTTTCTTGTTCAAAACTAAGGCAGGATGAACAAAAGTAATGAGCTCATCTGACCCTCACCTAGCAAGCCTTGATTTTAAACAGTATTCAAAATACAAAGCCCAGGAGAGGATGTTGTCATGACGATTATTGCACTTCTCAGTGTCTTGCTATAGGATTAGTTTTTCCTTTAGTAAGATATAATTTCTTTTCCTGAAGACCACATGAAGTTATTGTACTCTGCAAAGAAAGCAAGCACTTAAAGTTTTATGAAATTATGACCTACTCAGAAGGATAAAAAAAACCAAATTACTGTTCTATGATTCAGCTATGTCATGATCTAATATTGTTTCAAAATTGTTATTCTGTTATTTAGGTTGGCATCATCTTCTGAACACCTGACGTGCTCTTTGGCATGCTACGAATTCAGCAGATGCACTGTCTTCTGGGCTTTACAGCTTCTTCTGACGAATGTACAACATTTGGAACGAAGCCGCTCTTGACACCTTCCCATCCATCTTGTATTGAGATTTCTCCTTTTTTTACAAGTTCATAGATGTCTCGGGTAAGAATTGTAAAGGACTCCTCAACATTCGTGGCATCTTTTGCTGAAGTTTCTATATATTTCATACCACAGTCAGATGACAGTTTTTCAGCTTCTTCTCTCGTAACCTCACGCTGTGACACTAAGTCACATTTATGTCCTACCAACAGGAACACAATCTGAAAGGGCTGCACGTGCATTTTTGCTTCTTCCAGCCAGTCTTTCACGTGCTCAAAAGATCGTCGATTTGTGATGTCGAACACTAAGAGGCCACCCACTGAATTGCGGTAATAAGAGCGTGTTATAGATCTGTGAAGGAAAAAAAAAAAAGTAAAATTAAAACACATTTTCACTTATTTGTTAATAATCACTTTTTCAAGAGGCAAACTGGTTTTATCTCTATGAATTTTATGAAATACCTTTGCTTTTTTAAAACTACTTGGACTTTATTCATCTACACACAAAAAAGTTCCTTTTTCAAAAGTCACTTTCTAAACCTTCTTGAAGCCAGCCCCTCTAGTGTGAATTTTGAATGCTGAGTTATTCTGCAAAGTACTGTGCATTAGCATCCTGTGGCACATGTTCACAGAATAAAATATATGTATTTGTCAAATACTTGTCGGTGTTGAGGTGTGAGTCCTTCAGTTCTATACAAATGTGCACTTTGCTTTGTTCTAATCAATTATTTCAAACTGAAATATGGAGGCAGATGTTGAGAAACCTGAGCCTAAGCTTGCCAATGTACAAGCATATCCTTTTGCATTTCCTGCAGAAAAACTCTTAGATAGAAAAGTTGGTACAGATAATCATAATTCTTTGTGCTTGTGGAAGTCCACAAGTAACAGAGTCAGAAAGGAAACTCCCAAACAAAAGTATCCAAAAGTAGCTGAGCTGGGCAAATACAAACTACTTACAGCACTGGCAAAGAACACTTCTACCTCCAGCATCTTTCTCACACAGAGGTCCAAAAGCCCTTTATAACTGCAATTACTCTTTTTTGGCATGGGAATTCCAGGCCTGGCAAGAGATATTTTCTCCTTTTGAGCTCTCTACATTTCAGATCATTCACCAGAAGGAATTTTGGAAGAGTTGAAAAGATTTTTAATATGCTCCAGAAGAAGAAAAAGAAGTGTTTCTTAGAATGGATTGAGAGAGAGAGATACAGGGTCTAAAAAAAATGACTGTAAGTCTTTAATCGTGAGAAATAGGGGAGGATGGAGAAGGTTAGAAGACACGTTTTGATGGAAGTAACAGGCTACCAACAAGTGGACACAAGCACTCGCTACTAGCATAGATAGTCAGTGTATACATAAGTGTTCTCCAGTGAAAATGAGATGCATAGTCTCTGTTACCGTCATTATTTGAAATTTTAATTTAGCCAATTTAGCATTTTACCTTATGATTATGAAGAAGATGCAGCCTCAAAACTTTTGGAATCAGGATGCACTGTACACAGTAACATACCTTTCCGTAACAGTAGCTCTCTCTGATTTTCAGTTCATCATGCTTCTTATAGTGTTTTATAACAGTTTGAACACAGAAGTATAATTAGGAGCAGTAGTCATATTACAGAAAGGTAAGTGCACAGCTGGATAAGGCTTAGGTTTCTTGGCATATCTAAATTTGTTTAGCCACAGCAAATAGCATTTGAAATGGCTTTATTTAGATAACAGGAGAGGTTGCTTGTACTAATGTTTAGAAAGATGTTTTTTACATTCCCAGGAACAGAATCCATGGAGTGTCTCTCTGAATGTGAAGATAACAGGATCTTACCCTCGGATTAATCCAAATAGCCTGGATATGAAAAATGACACATGGTTTTGCAAAGCTATTTAAGACCACAAATGAGGTGTATCACATTTTGTGAAGTATTAAATACAGCTGCCATAAATACCTGCTTCAGGTTTTCTTAACCATTTTTTTCCTGTAGGGCAGCTGCAAACACAATTGAGTACATTAAAATAATTCAAGTGGTTCTAGAAAGAGTGGAAGTGGGTGACAAAAATAGGATTCAATTTGGAGAAGTGGAAGCTAATACAACCTATTTTCATTAGAAAAATAATCTTGAAAACTGTTATGCCAAAGAAATGCATTAGGCAGGGAAGAAAGTAGGTTAGTATTGAAAATGCAGTGCATCACTTACCAAGCATTTCTATATAGAATGATGTTATATCATGTATCTATGAGCTGAGGTACCGAAAAACAGCCCTCCATGTGTTACTGGGTGCTAATACACAGGAGTCAGAACCCTCACCTACTGTAACTCACTTCTGCAGAGATAGGCTAATTTACACTAACTGATGATCTAAGTCATTATATTGCCTGTAACAGAGATGATTAAAAAGTACCTGTAACTTTGGGCTGTACATCACAAGAACTAGGTGAATATATGGAAGAGACAGCAGTTGTTTCTTCTGTGGTTTTGGCATGTATAATTTGAAATTAGTTTTCTCATTACCAAAAAAAGCTTGATATACCTGAGAGGCCTTAGAAAACAGTAAGAAACAAAAAAAGCAAGACAAAAAGTTTTAAAGAAACCCATGATATATATGGTATCGGTTATGTGATTGTCTAGTATGAGAAAAGAATCATAGAATTGTTTAGGTTAGAAAAGACCTTTTAGGATCATCAAGTCCAACTGTTAACCCAGCACTGCCAAGTCTACCACTAAACCATGTCCCTAAGCACATCTACATGTCTATACCTTCAGGGATCCTGACTTAACCACTTCCTTGGGCAGCCTGTTCCAATGTTTGACAATCCTTCTGGTGAAGAATTTTTCCCTAATACCCAGTCTAAACCTCCACTGGCACAACTTGAGGCCATTACCTCTCATCCTATTGCTTGTTATTTGGGAAAAAGGACCAACATCACCTCGTTAAAACGACCGTTCAAGTAGCTGTAGAGTGTGATAAGGTCTCTCCTGAGCATCCATTTCTCCAGGCTGAACACCCACAGTTCCCTCAGCCGTTCCTCATCAGACTTGTGCTCCAGACCCTTCACTAGCTTGGCTCCCTTCTCTGGACCTGCTCCAGCACCAAAATATCTTTCTTGTAGTGACAGGCCCAGAACTGAACGCAAGATTCGAGGTGCGGCCTCACCAGTGCTGAGTACAGGGGGATGGTCCCTGTCCCTGTCTTGGTCCTGCTGGACACACTGTTTCTGACATGGGATGCAGCTGGCCTTCTCCTGGGCACAAGCTGGCACATGTGCAGCTGCTGTTCACCAACACCCTCAGGTCCTTTTCCACCAAACAACTTTCCAGCCACTCTTCCCCAAGCCTGTAGCATTGCATAGGACTGTTGTGACCCAAAGTGCAGGACCTGGCGCTCTACCTTGTTGAACTTCATAGTGTTGGCCACAGCCCATTAATCCAGCCTGTCCAGATCCCTGTGGATGATATTTATTACAATATGTTTGACAAATATTTGAACAGTTTTATTATTAAGGTAAGTTATTATTTGCAGCTACATTTTAAAAGAAAGTATTCCTGACAAGACAAAATTTAGAAGCAGAAAGTTTCAGCCATCAACTGGGAAAAACATCTGAGCCTGTGAATGTGGTGGGTTGTGCAACACTATCTGAAACATAGAATCATAGAATGGTTTGGGTTGGAAAGGACCTTAAGATCATCTAGTTCCAACCCCCCTTGCCATGAGCAGGGACACCACACACTAAACCATGGTGCCCAAGGCTCTGTCCAGCCTGGCCTTGAACACCTCCAGGGATGGAGAATTCACAACTTCCTTGGGCAACCTATTCCAGTGCATCACCACCCTCACTGTGAAGAACTTCTTCCTTATATCTAATCTAAACTTCCCCTG